GTGACTTTGTCCGTTCCTACCCTCTGTAAAGCCCGAAGTCAACTAAAGGGTTAATGATAACTATCATAAAGCCTGCACGATTTAATAGAAGTAAATACTCCAACATGCAAGTGAAATCGATTTATTGGAAAATCTCACAATAACCCGAAACATCAATACTTTGAAATCTCTGCGTAAATTAATGTCATATTTTAATCGATTAGCTTATTCTGAATGAACTAGAAGAGCACCATTTGAATGACTTCGAGGAAAATGGTTTAAATCAACAAATTAATAAAACACTTAGCGGATACAAGCTTGGAGAAATTGACAGATTTTAAGTGCTTTTCATTCAAGAATTAAAGCAAAAACAATTAGACAACACGCAAATATTAACTGAATAAATTTAAATTGAATTATAATTGTAATAAATTCTGTGCTGTGGGAAAGTCGGGTTAGGTCTTTCTTTTTTTACCACAAAACTTCGATTTCTGAAATTACCTCTGTGAATAAATACGCGTTGGATTTGTTAAATCAAAATAGGCAATGTTTTAATGAATTAAAATAAAATTGTGAATTCTCAAAATCGTAACTTAATTTTGATGCGTTTGTTAATTAATATTGCCAATTAACAGCTTTTATATCTATAAAATATCTAAAATCAAATCCATCCGCTTTTTATGTCACTTTTCTTCCACACACATATATATTCTGGAATTTTAGCGGGCAAAGGCGCAATTATTGACAAATATTATCGATTTTCTTATTTAATGTAAGGTAAGATTATAAAAGGTCGTCCCATCTTCTATTGGCAAATTCAATCACATTCCACTTGACCAAAATAAGCACAGTAACGAAATGTGGGGGGGGGGGGAAGGGAGAACGTTTTTTCGCAGTCTGGTGGGAAAGGTGATTAGAGCCGAAAATAAGTCCGAATTTGCTTGTATACGACGAAAGAAACCAAAAAAAAACAATAAAGTGCACCGATTTAGAAGCGCCAATAAGTGTGTCCACGTCGAAGCATGTGCAAGATGAGTGGAACGCGAGTTTCTTGCTAAAAAGTCTCTAGAACATCCTGATCTGGATGAGTGCTGGAAAGTGCTTTCAATTTGTATGACTGGTACACACATTCAGTGACGTGGATGACTGACTGCAGTGATTAATTCTAGTCATGAGGTAAAGCGGAAAAAAAGTATGTCTCTCATTAGAGCTGGTGTAGGGGGACGCCCATATGCACACGTCAAATGTCACCAACACATCTCTTAACGGACTGGGAAATTTTTGCCTTCAAATGGGCTGCGGAATTCAATAGGTAGGGAGAAGAGGGAAAAAGTCCTATTGCCTGTCACCTAAATTGGGATAAATTTATGCTGCTTAATGTAATACCCTGTTAGCTCAAATTGAGAATTTAGGGACTCAAATTCTCATACAACAGATCAGAAAGTTTTACGAAAAAAAACCCATGAGAAAAACAAAAGCCAAAATAGAAATGCGGAATTTTGAAAACTAACGAAAAAAATAATAAACCACGCAAATAGGTTATCTGCGTATTAGAAGAAATGAGTATTGGTAAGAGTTCATCCAGTGAGACGATGATAACACTGCAACGTCCAAAAAAGGAATAATAAATTAATTAATGGATTTAATTTTGCATCGTGTTTCGATAAAATTGCCGAAATTACCGTCAAAAGGGACTACATGTTGTGAACAGATCCGCCTTTTAACTCAGGACAGTTCAGTAGAATAAGAGGCATTTTTTACCAAAAAAAATTTCATGAAAAGTGCAAAAGTTAAAAGTGATATTGTTAGAATAGGAAATTTGAGCAAAAAAGGCAATAAGCTTTCGCGCTGACATAGTGCTGTCGCTTTAGACAACAATTTGACGGATTTAACAGGTTTAAGTTGAAATAAGCCTTAATCTTGGCATAAACGACCCTCAATCCAAATATTCACAATGCCGCACTTAAGCCCCAGCTTCCAAAGAATTCGAAACTTTTACAAATTGACCTCGTCATTAACTATAATCAACAGGCTATTGGGATGAACGTTACAATAAATATTGTTTCTACGATAAGGTGCAAGAAGTGTGAATATCTTGAATGCGCCGAAATACTCGCCGGTTTTATATCTGGCAATAAGGGGTGTCCGATAGACTTACCTCCACGTGGAGCACCCTGGGCAACGTATACTCATGCGGCAAAAAATTGCCTTTTAACCGGCAATTGAAATTTCACTTCAAATTGCCATGACCCCACTGTATGTCATACTCGACCACTTCCACAGTACTCATCCTACCTTTTCTCTGGCTTTGTGCCTGCCTCTTTTACATCTGTGAATCTCTCTTCTGTTCCCCACCCCTCGACTTTCTGTTATTTTGATGTTTCTTCCCCTGTGAAGCCCGAAGTCAGCTAAAGTGTTAATGATATCTATCAAAACAAGACAATGAGATTATGGTTGCTGTTGCTCAATTCTCCCTCAACACTGTGAAAACAATCCAGCATGAAGTGGAATCTTGAAATGGAGACTAAGAGACTGCTGTGGTTAGAAGGAAGCGACATAATTTCGATCTGACTGGACTGGCAGAGCAGATTTCATCAAAAATCTGCAAAAAGTGCTAGAATACCCTCGACTCGAGATGTGGCCATTATCGCCGCAGTTAATTGAATGTCTCACAAACAATGAAGACTCACACCACCACAAGGTCAAACAAGTGCCATATAGGGCAAATTCTCACAGAAAAAGCGAGCAAATTAGAACGGCCTGCTGAAGTACAACAGTCTAGTTCTTTTCTGTTGAGAAAAATAAATGTGTGTAAAGACCAAAAGCACAGAGTGCAGAATTTCAGGTGGGTTGGCTTGCCTACACTCCAAAGGCACACTCCTCAAGTCGTGCAGAGTAAATGTCCCATGTGTCCTCCTCGTCGTCCGAAAGTGCTGAGATGCCTCTTTCCACACCTTTTCCAAGAGTGGCGTGTACTTAATTCAGACGCTTAAGTGGAATTGCTGACCACTGTAATAGTCAAGCCCTGAATAACCAGCAAAGGCAGCTAATAAAGGACCACTTGCATAGCGGCAGCAGGATTCAGCAACCAGCCACATTTCCGATAAAAATGAAAAATGGTTGCCCTACAACTGCTACGATCACACCAGCCTCAAAATGCGACCATGAACTCCCTTCCTCTCTCTCTCTCTCTCTCTCTCCCTCTCGAAACGTAACTCGATGGACAGGCGTGTGTGAATTGGGAGATGTTGAGAAGGACACTACTACAGTAACAAACCAGTTAATGGAGAGGACTAAATCAAATTTTTGGGGCGTTCCCTAAAATCACCCTGGTTTTAGGTTTCGGAGCCAGGAGCCGTGGCCGGGACCGTATTAGGACTTTAATGAACACTAGTGGTGGTTATTTGTACCAAAATTCCGCGACAATAAAGTAGCTTCCATGTCCATTGAACTTCATTTAAATCTATCCCATTTTGTAGTTACCGGCCTTTTCTCTTCGTTTCCTACTAACGGCGTCAAATTTATCCCAAACAAACTGTGGAACAAGTGCAGTTGCGTTAGAGAAGATAAAAGATCTCGCTTTCGCTGTTTTAAATCCAATACGTTGACAAATCTACTGAAATTACAGGATTCTTTTTTTAGAATTTGCTTAATTCTACTGCAAGGAAAAAAATAAGTTTTTACCTTGAACCATGGAATACTTCCATTGTAATAATGTGGAAATTCAGGTAAAATCAAATCAATAAATGGGTGAAAGCACAATCATCTGGTGACATCCGGTTGTACTACAACCGAAGTGTCCCATAGGCACGGGTTTTCATCAGGATAGGATAGGAAGCATTTGGTCGGCTTAATTTGGGATAAAACCCATGTCCTTATAAGGTGAATATCCACACGAATAAAGTACAGGCAATGCTGACTTACGAAGTGATAACTGCACTGGCATTGGAGGTCGCTTCACCATCTGGATAGAGTTGACCAAAGTTGGTTCTCAAGGGATCAGAACCGCGTTGAATGATGAGATAGTACGCATTTGGTGGAGCGAGATCCTTCAACTGATTGGCCATTCGCACTGGAGTCACACGGCGTCTAAATCGGCATTGAATGTAATGATTGGCGTCGACGTAATCGGTTCCAAGATCATCTCCACTGGTAATGAGCAACTTCTGCGAAAAGAACAGAGTAATTTACAAGATGAGGAAGGTACGAATTCAAGTTCATCACTCGAAGATACTTTAAAATGTCCTTTGGACTTCAGTATCTGCTTCTGTTTAAGTGTCAAATCACATTCACTTCATTTCAGCCGTTCTTCTATCGCGTATTCAGGTTTAGTCTTTGATTCATTCGTTTTCGACTACTCTTTTACCCAATTTGACCTTGTTGTGCCATTAAGTCGTAGATAATTAAAAAAGTCACCTTAATTCCCGACAAAGACATACCCTATTTTTGGCATTACTTCAGTGAAGTTTGTTGAGGCTTTAAAGGAACAATATCTTGGCAATTCTAATCTATCCAACTTTGACGATCAGTAACCGATAGCCTTGCCTTGACCATGATTATCTCTAAGGCCTTTAAAAATACCTGCTAATTAATGAAAAAATGGGAGTGTTTCTAAAATGCTATCAACTTCGTCGACTTTCAGTTGGTAAGTCTGAAAATAAGAAAATACACTAAAAGAAAATTCTGTGTGGTAGCCACACAGTATTTATTCCCAGACTTTTAATTTGATTATTGCAGCTAATGCTAAAGAGCGAATGGTTAAAGGAAATATCAAAGTTGCTTAAATGTTGATTGGTCAAAATTTTAGTATTTTGCTTACAAGGTCTCCTTGTGGAAGGCGGAGCATCAATTTCGCTATTGATTTTTACTAAGTGGACAAGTCGATTAATTGATTATACTTATAGCTTGAAGTAATTGAAGCAAAGAACAAGTGGGAAATAGTGTTTACGTCACAGGAATAGAAGTAAACATACGTTTGGCGATTTGGCTCCAAATTACTACCAATATTTCCATGGAAGAAATAACTAACGCATTAAGAATTGAATTTCCCTAAGGTTTTTATCCAATCAGATTTCTATTAGGTAGCTACAACCAGATCCTCCAGATTAACTTAAGGCACTTGAAAAGATTTAATCATTCACTAATCGTCTTACGTACACTGTTACATTCCATTTGTCATTGAAATGGAGCCTTATTTACTGCAGGCAGTCTAATTATTGTCCCAATCAAAGAAAAAACACTATTTTCGTCTAGACTAAAAGTTGGTATGGAATACATTGTAATAGTTTCAAGTTTGTGGCATTTTCTTACTTATAAGACGCGATTTAAGCAGAAGTAAATTTCAAGTGGAAGAAGTATTGACATTTGTTTCTGCGAAAAGGTTATTCATGTCGATCTATCCCTTTAGTTGACTTATTGTCGAATTGTCCAACCGCCAAAAATTGCGATGAGCGCTCTTCTTTATTCGCCCCTTAATGCGAATATTCACACCATAACCCATTCCTTTCCCATAGTGTTGGTGGAAGTTTGGAGACGAGATATCATAGATAATTTGCTCTACTCTGCATGTAGACTGCATTTACGTCTCAAAAAACAAAAGTATTTGAATTGGATTCATTCTCTAAATCCCTCTCAGAGAGGTTATACTCTATTAGAGAAGGTGCCACCCTCGAGAGTAATTCCGATCAACCCAGGTCATTTTGATTAAATAGGGTCGTTTTGATATGCTGACATATTCATTTTGACTCCGACTTAACCGAGTCTCTACATCCTTCTGCTTTGCTTAGGAAGATTCAACTCCCTCTCATGGTTAAATATTTCCAAAGATTCAAAATTACTACCATTTTTTTGGCATAACAACCCAATTGAGTAGTATTTGAAAGTAAAGTGAAAATTCTGCTTCGAATGGTTATTCGAGTTAGTTATAACAGAGAATAAATGCTGCCAATGAAACTTGCTTACCTCATCGTCAGAAGGGTTGTAGATATGGTTGGTTTCACTAGCTTCAGGTCTGTAGCCAGCCTTGACAACTCCTTTGAAATCAACAGTATCATAGTAACACCCCACAAAGCCATCGCCACCCTACATAACCAACGAGAAATCAGTAAATGCTATTTCAAAGGAAATTGATATTTCATATCAAAAGGATAACTATATCATGGAAAAATATTTCGATACTATCTAGAAGAATTTAATATTAGTACCTGCAAATTGAAGTGATCAATCCTATTCAAATTAGGTCATTTCTACTTTTTTTCTTCTGATTATTCACCAAAGCTGTCTTTTTTTCACTGGTAGCAAGAAGCAAAAGCGGAGGCGTAATCTGCCCCCAAAATCGATGATCTTGAAACAGTTCGGCCACATCTACTGTGCAGGTTAGTGCAAAGATGCATGGGAGTATGTGACGAACATATGATTGGTTAACCGAATACGCGTGCACCCGCTATGCGTATTTCCACGGTTTATTGATCGATGTGTAAACATGCTGAAAGGTGGGTGCCAAAAGAGGGGGGGGGGGAAGAGGAGGGAAGATGGACAGTGAACTGTTTTGGTTATTATGAACACAGGATGACAGGATTTTAAAGGCAAAAAATTTCAGAAAATAGGAGAAAATTCACAATGTCACATCATTTTGCATGACTCATTACCATTATGATGAACAAGTAGCCAAAGGTGCGATTATGAAACAGAGATTCAATAACACAGAACTCCCGAACAAATCGTACTAATAGCTAGGCACATAATTTAACAGAAGCAAGCATTAATATTTTCTCTAGTAACCAATGCAACTGTGAAAAGAAACACCAATAAATCCATTATAAATAGAAGCCAATCGAGCAACTTTTAGTTAGCAAACACTAAAACCAATTAAAATGAAAGAAAAGACCAAATGACCACGGCAATATGAAATAACTAAAGCCAATTAAAACAAAGAAAGCACAAATCCAGAAGACTAGGACTAATTAATGTTAACCTTAAATTATGGCTATAAATACGCACAATTTTGAATAGATAGAAAATGAAGATCATGAAATTATTAAATGGAAAGCTTTATAATATGACTACGAACAGGAACAATGTTCAATAGATATAAAGAATAGTCAAAAGCAATAAATACCTCACCACATGGGAAATTTTAATGATATAGGTGAAAATGTAAATATTATCCGAAAATACGATGTCTAAATCATCCAATAAAAATGTTGCTCACCATTTTCTGCATTTAAATAAGAGATAGATTTGAATTATTAATGATTGGAAATGGTATAAAAGTCATAAGCAAAGAAAAATATCAAAGGGGGTATTTCGTAATATTGTACTCACGAAATAAGGATCTCTGGAGAATACAAGTGATATAAATCCACTACTTGATTTGACATCACCAAAGAGTTCAAATTCAACATATTGAATTTCGTCTTGTTCAACTAAACGCCAAGTTGCTCCATATTCGCAAGCATTATCATCACAGACAGAGGGACGAATACATCCTTTAGTAACTGTGCAACTGCTCAAATCGATAGGCGTGAACCCTAATGCTCCTGCCACGAGGAAAAATAAAACACCAAACACAATCATTTTTATAATATTAATGCAGTCAAAGTGTGAACAAGCCAGCAACGCTCAAAGCTGCAGCAAGTAACTCCAGCCAACCAATCAGAGGCCCTTTGAGGATTGATTAAATTTGGTAAAGTTAAACACATTCAAGGTCATATATAAATTTTTCAGCAAACAGCGAGTTTTAGAGAATGATTTACCGAAAATAACAGCCATATTTAATAGCGAGACAAATTGGCTTAACTGAGTAAAATAAGCTAAATTTCTCACTAAATTAAAGACTAATTTGTTGCTAGATAACATGACTAAAGCAAAATTTGTCTAGATCTTTATTGTTCCTTCATTCTATAACTTGATCCTTCCTTCTTTTAACCCTGAAACATATTATTCCTCTGAGAATGACCGTCTTCTGTTCATCGTTTCGATAGATCCTGAAATTTCTCTAAATAGCTCATCTGCTCCCAAGGATATCCAAGCCCTTACATATATTTCACTTGTGTCTCAATGCACCGATTTACTTCTTTAAAATTAACTACGATCTAAGCCATATTGATTTTCCTTCAAATATCGCCATTCAACTCTCGTGTCTTGAGGTAAATTTTAAGTAAATTTCATGCAACCCTTTCGAAAATCTAATAATTCTAAATCAATCCTTCTTGATTTGTAATGAAGAATTTTATAAACTTAAGTTGTATTCCGAGGCAACCAGCCTGTGTGCAAATCAATTAATGAGAACAGAAGAATCTTGCGTTAAGCCGCTCTCTGAAGCAGAGTATCCAGGCATTTCCCCACAGAAAACTTGTGTCAGTTAGGTCGGAGCTACTACTCTAGAAACCTCTAATGAAAAAAGTAATTAGAAGAGATTCGACTAGCCGATTATATAAAAGTAGTCAAACGGAAAAGAGTATTTGGCCATTCATCATCGATCGAGCTCCTCGTTTCAGGAGCTTCTGTTACCCTTCCAAAGAATCGAAAATCAAGATTAGGAGTTTGCACCAGGACCGCCGTACGGAAAAGCACCAGCTCGAAAGAAACGGAAATAATTAGCCATTTGAGAATGTAAGCATACTTCACCAAATAATGCGAAAATTAGTGATTAACAGGCAATAGAAAAGATTTGGATCCGAATTCGCATTTAAACAGGACTTAAATGAAGACAAATAAACCGACTCCAGCTAATAACTACGAAAAAGGAGAGCTGTTGGAGATATCACCGAACATTAGACACTTAATAACTAAAAAATGTATCTTCGTCTTTGTATTAAAAAAACGAAGACCATATTATGCAGTAGCTATTTAAATTCTAACTGTTAAAGTAAGAAAAAAATATTTATATCAGCATAATATGCAAATCAATAATATATTTCAGTTTTATTTACAAGCGAACAAAAGGCTTTCAAGAACCACGCAGCCCTCATTTGGGAACGAGGCCAAATGCCCTCGTATCCAGCCCACTATGACCTACACTCTAGGTTGAGTTGTTAAAATAACCACTAAAGTTCTAAGAATAGCAATGGGATCCATCTCATCAGTAAACCCATGGCAAACAGTCATATTTATTAAATGCGTGTTTATATGTGCTCATTTGAGTAGACCATGTGATGTGCATGGTCAAGTAGGCCATGCAATTCCGGTCGACAATATGAGGAACAGAGTTCCGGGTTCTCATAAAAGTGACTCCGTTATGCCTTTTTTAATAGTCGTCAAGTGCCGTTACCAATTCCTTTAACAAGCACGGATGCTTCAGAAGAAAGAGAACATATTCACATACAATTAGCTTTACTCTACATATGTATATATATATATATATATATATATATATATTGGCGTAGTGATAAACAAATAAAAACACTTCAAATGAAATTCAAGCGCATAAAGTTTTGTTAGTCAGTAAAAAACTCAAAGAAAGGAGAAGAAAATATAATACACAACCCTTCAACTCCCCCGCTCTCCCATTGGTGCAGAGGCATTGGTGAAAAATTTGATGTCACAGAGCTCGGAGCTTCGAAAACCCACCGATGGCATTGCAACCACAGCCGAAGACGTTGAGGCATCACATCGACAGCCACGTTGACGTCCTCGATGAACGCAATCGACGTAATAATCATCAGCTCTTGATAAGTCGTCACCATCACCGGAAGGTGAAGGGGAGCGCGAAGAGGAATGGGAAACCATGCCACTTTCGAATTGAGCCTTTGTCAAGTTGGGATTGAGTCGGGCGCTACCCAAGCGTGCGCCGTTAGAAGACACCATGGGAATGCTGAAGTTAGGATCCCCCATACGTGCCTTTAGAGAGCTTAATTTAGCCAGGTGGTCGTCCAGTCGGTTGGATGAAACAGTTAAACGTGAAAGTTGAAGTTTGAGAGACTATAATGAGAAGAATACAAATACGAGTATTAACAGAATAGCAAAAAAGAAGGGACTATTTCATATTATAGTACGCACCAAGCGAATTCCCGAAGCAAAAATACCAAATGCTAGTTCGAGGTAAGAGCAAACGAGGGTAGGAGGGAAAAATTGTGTTGAAGATTAAGAGACTGAATTTAAGGAAATAAGCAATACAAAAATACCACATTTACTAAATTATACCACTGCCACAACAGACAGTTGCTCATTGGGATACGTCAATCGCCCTATTGTACCTCATTCATCAGTGACCAAAAACGGGATTTTCCACACTCAGAACCGGCGCCTTCCCTGACACCTATCAATTTCTTCTTAACCTACTAGCCAAAATGAACTCAACTTATGATTAAAGATGCTTTCTTGGTGAGTACGCCATTGAGTGGACTAAAGTTTGGCATTTTAATACTGGAAATATTGCAGTGCCGAATTGCTAGGAACGAAAAGGACACTGCAATTTTTTATCTGTTAAGCTTCCACCAAGCCATAGAGACCAAGAGGTTAACAAAAAAATATCCAAACCCGTTGAGAAATTGCAACATAAAGACTAGCAGTGGTTACAAGGTCAAAACAGCAAAAGTGGTTTATAAGATCACTAAATAGGGAAAAAGGAAACACTAAAAGATATCGAGAAATCAAGGATTAAATTAAAATAAATTAATTAGAAGCATAAATATGCGCTGGCGATGTCCCGTCAAAGGTCATTCAGTAAGTGAAATGAACAATCGCAATGGTTAAGTCTCTCATCAGAGAAGCTACCCTATGACACATTGCCAAAACGAGTTTATAAATTTCGTTAGTGCAAAATGCTTGAGCTAATTTGCAAAATATTGTTACTGGATATCAGTTAGATAAATCGCCACGTAAAGAAAATGAAATGCAAGATTTGAAACAGAGAGGCGTGATGATAAAGAAACTACAAAAAGAACTCAAGCACTACATTACTGATTATTACTTGCTAAGGAATAGAATCCATTTACAGACGCAGTATTAGTTTAGTAACTAATTAAATATCTAGAGTTACTATACAAAAGCAGATACTAGTAGCAACACGACTGTAATAAGTATAATTAAACAGAAAAAAAACAACGAAGCATTAAATGCCTCTGATTGTTTAATTTAAATATTAAATTTATAAAATGTAAAGATAAACCACAGAAACCTGATGGAGGTAAAATGGAAGTATAAGCAAAGATAAATGTATCACTATTTTGCCATTGCAATTACATTTAAGCTTTTGTTTCAAAAGGAGGAGCACTAGAACATGCAAAAATAACAGAAATACAAAAAAACAAAACATTACTATTGATCAATTCTAAAGAAATAGTATAAAAGTTGCAAATAGGTACTTGTATTCTTTCCCATTCCGCTTGTGTTTCAGCCTCGAGATTGGCAACTTCGTTTTGTTTTTTCTTGGCACATCTGCGAGCATATTTGCGATTCTGAAGACGCCTTCTACGCACCCGAAGTTCTTGGTGCTGATCAGGTGTGATTATGTTTTGGTCTAGCAGGTTTCTTAACTGAACAGTTGTCATTTGTACGAGCTCTTCATCTGTAGGATATGTTAACGCCATCGTGGAATGAGACTTCCCTGTAAAACGCAATATCGTATAAATCGAATAAGGTTATAATTAAATTGTTATATGCCCATGTAAAAGAGAATAATATATCAAACAACTAACTTCCAGAAAACACGAGAGGAGATTGAGGAAACAGATTAAGAATACTGTTATTGGGAGGGAAATCTGGGGCATTTCATTGGCCAAAATGAAAATAATTCGTCCTTTACTCTTTTCAAAGACGTACACTGTAATAAAAGAAATTATTTAGAAGAAAACTCTAATATTTTACAATAATTTATTTTAAATAACTTTTTAAGAAATATGAAGTCGCTGATTAATTATAATATTGCCTTTTGAATAAAATCCTTGAATCGATATGACTATGTAGAAATTTATAAAACCTTTGGGATGACTGATCATGTATATATGAAATCACAGTGCTAAATCTGTAGTACAATAAAATTTACCTGCGATATCAAAAGTTATAACGTATATACCTTAGATTCGTTCTCATATATTCGAAAATTTACTTTAAGATTCTGCAATGATAATCAATGCCGAAAAATCCCCTATGTCAAGTGAAATGCTATATTTGCGGTAAAAATTACTTTTATAATAACAGCTTTTTGGTTGAGATTAAATGAAATAGTGAAGTTGAATGTAATGAGATTGAAAAATATATTTTCTAATTAAACAGAAACGTGAATGTATTAAACCTAAATGCTTCATTTCAATAAGCCAAAATCTGTGAATGAATCCGATGGAAGAGATTTTCGCAGATAAATCAAACAAGTGAAATGTAAAATTTCATTGTAAAGTTAGATTATATGGTACTAGTTTATCATACTCTTATCCGTGTACTATAAGTTAGATATGACTAAAAAAATGAACATCTACTAATATTAAAATTTTGAAATTCGGAAATTCTGCCTAAAATTATATACCTTTAATGAGTATTAGTGAACTGGGTTTTATTTTATATTGGAATTAGGAACCAGGAGTATCTAACTGAATGGGATGGATATAATTAATTATCAATTCTCCTCACTGGGACACCGTAAACAAATCCTTCATACGATAAGAAATTGCACTAGTTGTGAACACAACCTGACATCTCCATTATGCAAAGAGACCCAAAACAACGGTGAGAAAAGAAAAAGCTTATTTTCGTATTAATTGATTATTTCCAAAAAATATGATTTTCAATAGTAATGTAATCGAATTTGTTCAAAATTGAGATAAATTAAAATAAATCCAATTTTCTAAATGTAGAGACCATAGTTTGTATTTTTTGTAATCGAATTTTAATATAAATTTTGCCACGTGTTTCGTTCTCTCAATTAATAAAGAAAATAGTTAATAAGAAGACACATCTTTAGGAGTTTTATTGATTGAAATACATTCGGAATTGATTATACAAATTCTTAATGATATTGATTGCACATTTGATCGCATATATTCTATATTAAGAAAAAGGTTAGAATGTTCTCGAATGACATATTGAACTCCTGTAAAAGTGCGATTCCTATTTTAAAATATGGCAATGCACACTGTGACACGTTACCATCAACACAGATCTTGAAATCTGCGAATTTTCCAACCGACCACTTTTGTTGTGTAAACTGCATCCGCAACGACTTCATCCCATTTACCTTTGTGATAATTTATTATCTAAGTTTCTGTCAGTTAGTATCCTAAAATTAAAATGGATTAAATAAATACGCTTCTGCTAACCCTTTAATAAATAACTAAAAAAAAATTAGGTGACTGCCTCCACCTAGACTTCTTGGTTCTAGTATCATTAGATCTACACAACACAGCCACAGAATACTTAATTTTGGTGGCAGAGGTAAGACCCAAACTCCCATAGGGAAACTCCAATCGGTTAGTAAATCATTAACACGAAATATTCAACCATTTCTTAGCAAACGGATGGCCAAATTGGTAATTCTTAAATATTTATTTGTTTCAAATGGGTGGCTTTATGATTGTAACCATTGCCCCATTAGTTGACTTCGGGTTTCACAGAGGGGAGGAATATCAAGGTCGCAAAAGTGGAGAGGGGGGGGGGGGGAAGAAGAATGATTCACAGATGTAAACTAGACAGACACAAAGGTAGAGAAAGAGGTAAGATGAGGTGTTTGAAGTCAGAAGTCATCTGCCAGTTAAAAGACTTTTTGCCGTATGAGTATAGGTTGCCCAGGGTGCACCACATAGAATTAAGTCTATCGCACACTCCCGATTCTTAAACACAGAAGATATACTAAGTAGAGATCACGGCACAAAAATCGAAATGTCTAGGTCACTTCACAGTATCCTTAAATCAGATGAACCTCAATTATAGTGGTTCGTTCATCCACTCTCCATCGAACTTCAGTTTCTCTCTCCTCCTCCCCTCGATTTTCCATTACTATTTTGTAAAAACTGAAAGTTTCGTCTTTCTGAGGTTTGTGACGCTAACAGTATTTAGTAGCACCGATTATTAGTGTTAGTCTTCGTATCAAGTTTTACACACACACACACACACACACTCACACGGTGATTTGAACCCTTTCCATATTGGTAAGGTTGGATATTCATTAAGGTTGAGGTTATGAGATAGATGTGTGCATCTCTACCGTACCATTAATTCAAACAAAAAATATAAACAAATAATTGATAAAATTTCTTTCTCAATCATGGTCACTCTGAGATGCTTTAACCCTGGATAGGATGAATGAGATTAGCAAACAATTTTCCAAAGCTCCAAATTCTGAACGCCAGGAGTAAACTCGAATGGAAAAGGTAAATTCAGTAGTCTCAATTTTTTGCAAGTGGCAGTAAAAAAGAAACTTATGAAAGTTTTCAAAACAAAGTAGTGTCAATCGAATCATAATTTTGTTAAGGTGAGTCTATTTAGAAGTGAAATAATTGTGGGACACGTTATCGATGAGTGCGTCATCGTATGCCTGCATGTCTGCTCGCCAGGGTTGGGAGGTGCGGCCGTACAGTGACCAATCATCAACCTCTGTTTAACCTAATCCCCCATCCTGATCATGAGTAGCTCCCTGCGTGTACACTTTGTCCGCGATGCCCGTACTGGATAAACGTGCTTCATGCTAGCTGGTTCTGGGAGTCTAGCTAGATGTTGGAGAATCTCCCTGGTTCTGGGAGTCTAGCTAGACGTTGGAGAATCTGCCGTTCTGGGAGTCTAGCTAGATGTAGGAGAATCTGCCACAGATATAAACGCGCTCCGTGCTACACGTCTGTTTTCTTTATAGCTGAGCTATAGCTTAGCTGTTCTCTAGCTAGATGTTGGAGAATCTGCCATTGAGATTTCTGACGATGGAGCGTGGTAGAAGTGGAGGTGTGCACCCCCTGTTGAGATGGTACCGGCTCGGCGGGACAACACGGTCCTGCATTCGCACCCCCCACCTCCCCTAACTCCATATGCACTGTAGGTGTGCGTATTTCCAGAATTTCCAACCATCTGGTGTTCAGTTGTGGCGATAGTTTTGGAGTCTTTAAGGACTGAAATTGGAGGAGGAGTTTCACCAATTTGTAGCAGATTGATACCAAGTAAAGCCTGACTGATTCAGAAATCTCTTTGGCAGATTCTCCTACACCTAGCTAGACTCCCAGAACCAGCTAAGCTATAGCCCAGCTATAAAGGAAACTCATCTAGCTAGACTCCCAGAACCAACTAAGCTATAGCCCACATCTAGCTAGACTCCCAGAACCAGCTAAGCTATACCCCAGCTACGCTAGACTCCCAGAATAAGCTAAGCTATAGCCCAGCTATAGGCTGACTCCCAGAACCAGCTAAGCTATAGCCCAGCTATGAAAGACTCCCAGAACCAGCTAAGCTATAGCCCAGCTATGAAAGGATCTCCCAGAACCAGCTAAGCTATAGCCCAGCTATAAAGAAATCAAGTCTCTATGGCAGATTCTCCAACATCTAGCTAGACTCCCGAGAAATCTCTGGCAGATTCTCCTACATCTAGCTAGACTCCCGAACTAGCTAAGCTATAGCCCAGCTATAAAGAAAACAGACGTATAATTCAGCTAAGCTATAGCCCAGCTATAAAGGAAACAGACGTGTTGCAGCTATAGCCCAGCTATAAAGGAAACAGACGTGTAGCTCGTCGCGTTTCGAATGTGCATCTCTACGAGACTCAAGAACCTCATCCGTGTACCTAATGGAAATAACAGCCGGAGTACGTTGTCCTTCGAAAGCCTACCCTTACAGGTCCCCAAAACTCCAACTCACAACTGCGTTTCAACCGGCAAGCCGAGACCAATCGTCAGGCAAGCACACGCCGGAAGATTTCGACCATGAATTGTCGCAACCAAACATCTGTTCAACAAGAACGTTGAACACCGATCATTGCATATGGAGGAACATCCCACAGGACGCTCGTCAGTGGACCAAACACTGCCTCACTCGCTCAGCCGGCAAGGTCCACAAGCATGCACGAAATCCACAATCCTACTGCTTCCAACTCGAACCATCAAGTCTCAGCATTTCCAACACCTGTCCCACCTCTACCCAAAACCCTGTTACTCTAAGGCCGAAGATCTACCTCCCCCTCCCAACTAGTTGTTTTTGTACCTTGACTGATTATCGAAC